CACTGTGTATTCTTGTGTGTCTTCGTAGTTCTTCCTTTCAATTTCAGATCTCTGCGATAAAATGGAGACTCGCAAGCGCGCGCGAAGTGAAACGAGTCAGAGGGTCTTGCTACCCTTGACGAGCCGTGACAAACGTGGGGCAATTTTGGCGCAGTTTCGGCCCAGAGACGAAGAAACAGAGGATACAATGGGAAGTAGAAGTAGATCCAGGTTTCACCACCTGTGGGGATGTTTCCCACGGCTTCAGAGGCTCCAGCGGCGAATTTCTGAAGCATGAATTCACAGAAGTCCACACGAGCTTTCATGTGATCCGGTTTCAGCTGGTGCGGAACCCAACGAGCACGGACCTTCCTCGTCCCAAGGTGTCCTTGCTGGATCTTGATGACCGAGCCATGCGACACCCCAACAAGCTTCTCTAGCTCCCTGGTGGTGATCCGCCGGTCTTTGCCAGCATGAAGCGACACCTAGACAATGTTTTCCGGAGTGTCAGTGACATTTGGACCACCTTCACGGGGATCGTCGTCGAGGCTGAAGGAGCCAGATCGAAAGCGCGCAAACCACTCATAGACAGTGCTCTGGGATGGAGCTTGATCCGCAAGTACCTTTTGAAGGGTTTCGAAACACTGTGCCGCCAAATTTTCAAGCCGAAACTGCACCAAAATTGCCCCGCGTTTGTCAAGGGTGGCAAGACCCTCTGACTCGTTTCACTTCGCGCGCGCTTGCGAGTCTCCATTTTAACGCAAGGACCTGAAATTAAAAGGGAGAACTACTAAGATACATAAGAATACGCAGTGAAAAAAATCATGGGGATCTGACAAAAAGAAGTCACTTTTTCCGAGAACTCTGACCAGTCCACGTATTTACGCTCTAGAATCCCTCACGAAAAGAATGGAGGGGGAAAAAATTAGCCAAAACGAAAGTTCGATTCGAACTACTCCTGTTTACTTTTGTTTTCCTTTCTGCAATTTTTTGTTAGGGAGACCATAGAGGAACCGACCCTGGTTGGTGTCGTGGACTGTCAGCTAATGACATTCCAGGTCATGAGGTTTCGATTGACACCTTGATTAATAAAATCCGTTCATCCTTCTAGGAGGAATTTTCCTGAATGATTAGCCACTGATGAATATGCATGTAAATTTAATTTTAAATTAACATTAAAATAAGCTTAAATTAAAATTAAAATTAAAGTTTTAGATGAATACGATATTGTGAAATTTTCATGAAATGGTATTTATTGCTATTTTATTGTTTTGCATGAGTTTTGTCTTCATCGAGCATATTTTTCTATTAATATATAAACCCATTCATATGTCAGGGTTCGTCTCAGAAACTCTGATATTTCTCAATCTCTGCAATGCTGGTAAATAACGCCACCAGACGCTTTTTGTAGCTCATGGGAATGGAAACGAGCAATGTTCGTCAGAGATCCGGGACTGACGCGAAGAGTCAGACCTGAAAAAACGGAAGACCCCAATTGACAGTTGTCAGGGTTCGCAGAGACATACTGTCCTCCACTCGAGATTACGACATCAGAAGGTCTCTGGGCCTCTCGGACGTCGGCACTTCACTGGATCCTCCTCTCTCGCCTCGCGTCGGACTCGCTCTCGCAAAAATAGTTGACATCCCTATAATGCACCATATCGAGTCGATATTGCTCGGCGGAGATCATGATTGCATATACGCTCGATCGATTCCAAGCGAGCTTCAAGAATGGAATCACCCGTTTAGAATTCGGCATATCTCGTCACGATTTCCCGATTATCTGTCTCCGCCAAATGATCCTGCCTCGAAGGCCTCAAAGGTACTAATTCCCGTTTCCAGGAGGGAATGGGCATCGCAAATTAATTGCTAACATATCTCCCTTTCCTGAGAATTTTGTTGTGGAGACGCAAGAAAACTGTGAAGGCTCCGCTCACTACCGCCTGAGCGATAAGTGGAGCAAGAAACGTCCAAGATATGTGTTTGCTTCAAGGGCGTGAAATGTTTTTAAATAGATGATCGTGGGACACGACTGCGCGAGCATCAAAGCCAAGCCGCCAGTTGAAATCGATAGACCAGAACGGGGCAACCAGAATATACTCGCAGTATGGGATGAGATCAGCACGATATTCGATGCTTAATATCAGGGGTCTTGAACCTTTTGCCAAATTCATATTCAGCCAAGTGTTTGTGAGCCAAAATACAAAATGGAACATTCCTTCAAGTTGACCCTAATATCAAATGCATTCTTCAATGCATGAGAAAATGGCGATGCATGCTTTTTTCAGAAAGATTTCCTTGTTCCAACAAAGCCATTTGGACAAGGCCACTTGCCATTAAACACAAAATCCTTTTTGAGGGAACTTGTAACTGTCAAAACTTGTAACTGACAAAATCAAGTCCTGAATGTCCGTGCCAACTTTGGTATCACTGCATGCTTGAAACTGCGGCGAAAGAGTGACTCAAATCGTGTTTGGGTGCTCATCGCCACGGACTATTCAAAAGGTGCTCTGGATACCTAGGAACTGACCATAGAATTTAATCATTCTGAAGTTCCCATGAAACTCAAGGATACATTTGAGGAAGCACAAGAACTTCTGGGTGCAGATGATGACTCAGACTCCAGTGACTTATCTGAAGCAGAAACTTCACCACAACCGGACACGGATCCGATGAAGCCAGTACATGAGAAGTCACGGGAGTGTTCTGATTCCTGTGTCAGAAATGCTGCAGTCAACATCGGATGTGTTGCTTGTGAGGCACCGAGAGAAAAGAAGGATGAAGCACCAAAAACTGACCAAGTGAAGTCGGCTGCACGAGAACGGGGAATGCCAGAACGGGAGAGCACCTCAAAGTCAAGAGTTCGTCCAAGCAAGGTTCAAGACCAGCCGCTATTCACAATAGGATCCTTAGGTCCTGTTTCCCTAAAGAAACCGAAGAAACACCAGCGATCAGTCGAACTCAGTCTCCAGCTCAATTTTCATTTGGAACCCCAAAATTCCAGGGAGTGGCATCAACACTCCAACTCGCTCTTCATCAGGAACAACCAAAAATCTCATTTGGCAGTTCTCCAGCGTTTAATGCCTTTCGACCATTTACGTACACCTTCGATGCGTTACAATCTAAGGCATCTCCAATTAAGTCTCCGAAATATCCTTAAAAAAGGAGTTCCTGATGAGTATGGCGGGAAAATTCAGTCTGTTGAGAATGGGAGGAATCACCTCTTCTTCCAGCCAGTGATCTCCTTGCCAGACTTGGTAGAATTAAAGACAGGCGAGGAAAATGAGAAGATCCCGTTTTAGCAAAGGGCAAAGTTCTTTCGTTTTCGCAGTGGTCAATGGAAGGAAAGAGGAATCTGACAAGTGAAGATCCTCAGCAACCCTGACACAGGGAAGGTGCGAATCGTCATGAGGCAAGAACAGGTTCATAAACTCTGTCTCAACCACTACCTGGTTACCAGAGTTGACATTTTCTGCTAAAGATGAACGATCTTGGCTCTGGGCAGCCATTGATTACTCTGAGAATATGGAAGGCTCCTTGCAGAAGTTCGTCATCCTCTTGAAGAATGCCGAGTTAGCGCGCCGATTCCGGGAGAATGTGGAACTGGCGCAGAGAAAGATGGCCGCTATGTGCGAAGTACCTGGGAAGTTCGTTTGCGCATTGTGGCCTTCCATTCTCTATTATGAAAAAGCGATTTCCTTCTTGTCCATGCAGGGTAGATCGCAGGTGTGCCATGAACCTACCTGACGTACCTACATCCCAGAAGAGGAACACGCACAACCATTTTGCAAGCAGGAGTGACATCATTTTCATCCGGTTTCCTACTATTTGGACAAGAATGTACTTGATATTTTTGATTAAGTACATAAATAAATCCGATGTCAGTCGACAGTCACCGTTCATTGAATCTCATACGATTCGAGTATTTCGAATGTATTCGCACTGTGAAGAATTCGAATTCAAGAACATCATTTCATCAGCGTTTAACCCTGATATTAATGAAGTTCGCAATTGGATGTCCATTTACGTGAAGCTTGGAGCGTTTCGGTCAGAATGGGTGCTGAGCCAAATGCACAAAATCCCACCCTGGGAACATTTTCTACTTTGATGCAGGGAGGAAAAAAGGGAGATTGCAGTGTGCCTGGCTGGGAATGGAGTGAATTGTCTGAGAACCCAGCTTGGCTTCTGGAGCATTTGGCTCAAGGAATTCACATGGTCGTCGCCGAGGAAGCTCCCTGTGTCGTACCGAGGAACAGAGCGTTCAGGCAGTAAAAGGGTCAGATAGCGAAAGTGGCGCCATTTTCACCATGTAATGGAATGTTGTGCATGCATGCCATTCGACGGCTCGTTGAAACGCATTTGGGAAGTGGGATCCGAGGAACAGAGCGTTCAGGCATTAAAAGGGTCAGATAGCGAAAGTGGTGCCATTTTCACCATGTAATGGAATGTTGTGCATGCATGCCATTCGACGGCTCGTTGAAACGCATTTGGGAAGTGGGAGCTCAAATTCTCCAAGTCGAGATGGGGATCACCTTTGGCCGGCATTAGAAGCAATTTTTGTCCCATATTTCCTTCTGTAAATGCATTCATTTAGACTGACCATGAGCCAGTTTCTAATGTTAATTCTTTTATGAGGCATTATAACGTAACATTCGATACAGAATATTCAAAAACTGTGGCATATAATTGCCATCTGGTTTGGGCGGTACGAATACACCAGAAAAACAAGTTTTTATTGGCTTTTTGGCTGATTGAAACATTCTCTCTCTAAATGGATCCCGTTAAAGGCAAATTTTGCATGTAAACTGGGTGGAGCGACGCCGCACATGTCATTGAGATCAACTTTACTCTCCATTCGTGAGGGTAGAATTATATTCCACAAATATAAACTCAACCACTGCAAACCATAAGGAAAATATGAAAAATATCCCTTGATAATATTGAAAAGCTTGACGAATTAAGAGGGTTATACACGCATACATAATAACAATGATTCCCCCCCCCCCCCCAAAAAAAAAAAATCAGAATCCCCTGACGTTGATGGAGCCCATCAATGTATTCGCTGCAGACTGGATCATTTGAGCAATGATGGAGACTCCAACCTTCACCTCATTCCAATCGGGATCACTCGCTACCATCAAGTCAACCAGATTCCCAAAGACTTGCCCCGCGTAGGAGTTGGAACTGCTGGGTCTGTAGATCATGTGACGGTTCCCGCTGGGGAGCATCGTGTTGATGAAGACGCGTTCGACTGCCATCAATTCGTCGTTGAATCGCCTCACTTGGTATGGCTCATCCAAATCCAAGGACTCTCGATGCTCTCCGTGGAAGAATTCCGCAGCCGAGGTCAAATTGTCGATGGCACTCGACCACGAATCCAGTGATACGTTATGCTTCTCCAGCAGATTCCCGAATGTCTTCCAGAAGCCCTGGGATTGTTGTCGGAGAAATTTGCTGTAGTCCCTGACGTCGAACGGAAGTAAGGCAGAGTTGGCATAGTGATCGGCGAGTTCCATCCAAACCTGAGTGACCGCTTTCGTGTAGTTAAAACTTTGATCCAAGAGATAATCGACCAAGTGAAAAGTCTCGTAGAGAGAATGATACAAGGGATAATCCTCTATTTCCCCATTGTACGTGATGTCGATGGAAGGAATTCCCAAGAAGTGGACGAATGGGGCATAGTCGCTCGTGCAACCCAAGGTTTCCACCGTTGGAAAATCCGTATTCTCGGAAGGCGAATTGTGGAGCCACGTGTCGAAGACGGTGGGTCTTCCATCCTTCACCTCCTCGGGGTTCGGGTTTCCTACTTTCTTCGTCGTGGAATAAAGACTTTGGAATGACAGCGGACTTCCTATGGCCCTCAACGTCTTATTCCCCGAAACGGAGATGTCTACATTCAGATTTATGACGGTCCGATCTGCCAACGCATTGGCGTATTCCTCCACCCATTCCGTGGACCCGATGAGACCGTACTCTTCGGCGCCCCAGCTGCAAAAGAGCAGAGTCCGTCGAGGTGGATTCCCAGCCTTCGCGGCCTCGCCGTACAGCCGTGCGGCTTCGAGCAGCGATGCCGTGCCGCTCGACGGATCCACGGCCCCGAAGATCCATGCATCTCGGTGGTTCCCCAAAATCACGTAACGATCCGGTTCCAACGATCCTCGGCCTCGCCGTACAGCCGTGCGGCTTCGAGCAGCGATGCCGTGCCGCTCGACGGATCCACGGCCCCGAAGATCCATGCATCTCGGTGGTTCCCCAAAATCACGTAACGATCCGGTTCCACCGATCCCTGGAGCATCCCGATGACGTTGTGGATCGTCTTAACGCTGTTCTCGGTATGAACTTCCATCTTTACTTTCCAACCCGGTCGAACGAAACCTGGTCCAAGTCGATACGTGACGTTAAGAGCTCCTTGCCATCGAGACGGGGCTTCGGCTCCGGCGAGATTCTCCAAAAGCTTTTTTGCCTCACGGTACCCGATCGGTTGTGCGGGGATTCTCGGTAGCTCTGCTTCCGATTCCGGAATTCGGTACGTACCTGGAACACTCGGTCGGTGGGGAGTAGTAGGATCTCCATCGGTCCACTTCACCGTTCCACTTTGAACTCCCATATCTGGCAAATACTTGCCGTTCGGATAGACGAGACCTTCTCCCTGGGATGCATACTCCATCGGGTCGGAATAAAAGATCACGCCGATCGCTCCATATTCCATCGCAAACTTGACGATGTTGGCCCTAAAGGACTTACCGTATCGCGCTAATACGATGCTTCCTTTCACCGAGATTCCTTCTGCGACAAGAAATTCGAAATCTTCCCTTCGTCCGTAGCCGACGTAAACGAGATCTCCGATCGGTTGTCCAGGGGCGGAGTAGGCGTTGAAAGTGGGAAATACGCGATGGCTACTCTCCTCGGGTGCATATAGGGGTTTTTGATGGCCCAGGGTCGAGAAAACGATATCTCCTGCTTCGTCGAGAACGTAGACTTTGTTCGGCTTTTCTCGATCGGGATAGGAGAGGAGGACGTCGTACGGAACGACCTTCACGGAATCCAAGTGATATTCGAGGAACTTATCACGAACGTATCGAGCCGTGTCGAGTTCTTCTTCCGTTCCCGCCACATGGGGTTCTCGGGTGAGTTGTCGGAGGTGGGTGCGAAGGTTCTCGCTGGAGACTCCATCTGATAAGGGACTCTTTTCGCGGTCGTTCTTTCTGTTCCATTGACCGCTGTACGGGAGGCAGGAGTAGGTTAGGAGGAGCAGGTCGGCAAGGAGTACGATTTGGATCCCGGTGAGAGGCATGACTGATTCTGTAGAACCTTGAGGCTCCAAAGATTATTTTATCTTTCAGGTCATGATTGATAAGCTCAAGTGTGCGGCATTTCTCTGCAGGTCGAGGGGAGGGTAAATAAGTGAAGAGGGGAATGCACCATCCCGAATGGGCGCTTGCAGAGGAGAGCGGAATGGTACAATATAAGTTTATTCTGTATGTAGGAGGAATTTAGATTTGGCATCATCAAGGTGTCGATCTCTTCGCGAGTGAAACATGGTATTACCCGTGACCTTTGGATAACAGATGCACCTATCTCACGCTTGAGGCATCGAATCTGAGAGCATAATGACCGTGCGGGCCTCAGCACCTTTGACTCCATTTGGGCAATTCAGTTTCGCTTCCAACTGTGATGTGCCGCGCCATGGCCGCATCGCAATTCGTCTCAATGGAGAAAGCCCAGACCCCCTCGAGAAATGAACCTTGAGGGTTTGATCAGATCTAATTTCACCCATCTTGCGGTTCTTCCCTCGTTTCGTTTACAATTGGGGAACACTTACGAAGAATGGAGTCAGATCAGTATCTTCACGAAGTTTTCGTTCTTCACACATTTGGAATAAGTGGCAAATCTGAGGCCTCTGTCATCGACGAGAAGGAATATCAGTGAACATGGTAGCATGATTTTGAAATGCTCATGCTTCTCCGAGATCACGGATGATAGGTAAAAAAAAATTTAACCCTCGAGATTGACATTGCATGGTCAGGAATCATTAAATGTTATCTCGTTATAAATTAAAATGTACGACTTCAAATGCACTTTGGTCTTGGTTAACACAACTCTAAATGCGCGGCTGTTGAAGTGAAAAGAAAATTCAATAGGATGTATCTGTGGAACGGTAGTTCTTTAAAATGTTATTTCTTAGTGCAGGAGTTTGATTGGTGTCATCGTTACATAACTTAAAACGAATGTCGTTAACATCTTGTCCTCTTACATCCTAGAACATTAACAGTTTTTATAGTGATTACAGTGGTTACATCACTGGCCTTTCTTACGAACTCGGATTACAGTCTGGGGTAAGATGCCGCAACGGTATTAATTCCTATGAACGATCCAAGTCCACGAAAGGGTCCAAGTGCGGTGGGTGTCTTCGTTTTAAGGTCTTTACTTGAAACGTTATGGGTATTCTTACGTTGCAGAAGAGTATAGTAGCGTTACTTTTTTCGATAAGTTCTCGTTATAAATTCGTGCTGAAGGCGATTATTATAGTCTAGTACCAGACTCTCACGCCTCTTTCACTTCCGTATAGTGCCTGTATTTCAAACCGGAGTGAGGTAAAGCAGAAGGCTTACCGAGCGAAAGTTTAGAATCGGAAAAGAAGCATGGAAATTGCACTTGGTCGTATGCCTGTTTACGCTCTAGCAGCCAAACCGTCAAATATTGAGCAGTAAATTTTGCACACATACCTTGGCATTGGAGGATGCATGCTTCTATGGAACAAAAATGTATCCGATTCACCTTTTCCCTGTATTGGCGGAAGACTATAATTTGAAATGAATGAGAAAAATGCCCAGGATACGAATGCTGCCGTCGGTAGGACAAGTAGAGTGAAATTCTCCCTCGGTTCGATCCAATCGGGGCTGGGGGTCAAGGTCCAAAAAAGGTCCACAGGTCCAAAAATGCAAAATAATGGAGCTGCAGGCCTCCCACCTGGCATTTACTCAAACAAACAGGGTTTTCATTACAGGAGACAGATGGCGAATAAATCGTCGTTTTGGCAAGCAATCCCAAGAAAGACCCCGCATCAGCTTAATGGAAACGAAAAGGGTTTTCCTCGCGGAGTTGAGTTTTCCTGGATGACATCAAGCCCTTCAGCGATTCTTTCCCGATTTGCCCGTCTCTGATGCGGGCGACTATGTCCTTCCCGTAACTGACTTGTCCGCATGAGACACGGGCGATTCGTGTTTCGTTGTTTCGTTCTTGACTTGCCCAAATAAATGAATAAAATGTTACACATGCATTTTTTTTTCAAACGAAGTCTATAGAATCAAAATCTACAGCTAAAAATTGACATCTTTGGTCCAATTAATTGCAAAAAAAAGGTAAAAATGCTTTCAACTCGAAATGCATTTTCGCTTATGAATCTCAACTTCTTTGATGGCATAAATCGACACACTAAACACTTCTCTTACATTGGTGGAGATGCATCCAATGGCTCCGAATGGTGTCAGTGGATGCGATTGGACTCGTCGCCATATGGTCTTCGGATATTCATTAGCAATGGAAATCTTCCCATCTTGCAATAGGTAGTACCATTCGTGTTACCTTGAGTTAAAAAGAAAATTTGCTTCCAAATGTGGTAAAACCTCCTATTTAATCGTAGTTACCAGCCTTTACAGAATTTTTTTACTCATGAAATGCTGCACCCTAACGTGTGCTACAGTACTGAATGCAATTGCGTTTTAGCGGCTCAATCCCTTATTGTTTAATATATACTGCTCTCTCCAAATTCCAATCTTAGGGCATCCTCTTGAGGATAGCTTTCGAATATGGGTCATTCCATCGTGACTCCTGTTACAGACGTACACAATTTTCAGAAGTTAATTCCACCCTGCCTTCTGAATTTTCAATTTCAGATCGTTCCTCAAGGCATAACGATTGCAGGCATTGAGCTTTTGTCGTATATAATACTAATATATATTTTTAAGTTCTTCTGAGAGTGAGAAAATGGAAAAAAGTTTTCGCGACGCATGTTACAATGAAAGGACACGATTTCCAAGTGTAGGTCTTCTGTAAATCCCGCTTTATTTTTAATTGGATTTAGACAGTACTTCGTTGTCATTTAGGTAAACAATGAGGGATATATATCATAGCATATTAACTCTAAAATCTATTCATAGAGTTTCTTTTTTAACCAGGTATGACAATGAGTTTATTGTGTTCATTGTCGTAGACATTATTACACAAATATTTCACTTTTTTAAAATCATTTTTAGATTCTCATAGTTTCTGTTCTGAGATCGCGAGCCAATTTAAGGAACTTCACCAAAATTGATTTGATTGTATTAATATGCGATGATTGCATTAAAATCAAAATTTTCTGTTTGTTGGTATTATCGCGATAATACCGTGGTATTAGAGTTTCTGTATGACGAGTATACACGTACAGGGCAGACCAACAGGGAGAGAAATTTGTCTTCTATCTCTCCGTGGTCGCACAGTGTGCAGTCTGTCATGGTACTCTCTATTTTCATATCTACTTTGTTGTTCTCTCAGTTCAAATATTCCTCCACGAAAATTGATAAGGATAATGGAGAAAATATATCCAAATATTTTCTTAGTTTAGGGTGGTTTTAAAAATCCTGTAGGAGCGAAATCATTTTTAGCTCTAATAGATTTGTTCCTGTAGTCATTTTTCTAAAACATTGCAAGAATTTTCGCAGACCCGAAAAAACGCTGGGAATCTAGCGACGATCTTACTTTAAAGGTACGGCAGTGAATGTGTTAATGAAGGGGAGGTTCACTGGGAAAATCTCTACCATCTGGTTGCTGCTAAATTTTCCTTCCTGGATACTTCCCTCATATTCTTGCTGAAATCTGTTGAAGGGAGTCCTTACAGCTTTTCGGGTCGACATACTTTTTGGCCACAACGGCATTTCCGTCTGGCTTTCGAGGCATTAAGAATGCCATTAATTTCATGAAAGCCGCCATCATAGACAGGCTGTTTTGAATCGGTTCCCAGGTCCGCCCATTGCGCGTTTTTACTTATAAGCAACAAAAAAAGGAAATTGCATTACAGCAGTATATCTGCCAAAGGATTGAAAAACAAGATGTTATATTTCTCCATGTTTTATTCAAACAAGCACTAAAGGTGAGCTTTTCACATGTCCAATGACATTGGAATGTCAACTTGGAACACTGAACTGAAATTTGTCTTCCTGTTAAAAAAAATATAGGTATCAACTGTAGTTCTGATTGAGTGAAAAGGCTCTTGGATGATACGAAACGTAAACCATATCATAAGATGACTAGTAGAAATAGACTAATAGACTAGTATAATAAGACATGTCTAAAGATTTTTCTTTTGATACTTCACACACCAGTGAATGAGGTGTAGAAGTTATTGCACTAGAATGAATTAAAAATCACATAAGGTGGCAGGATGAAGAGAAGTTAAACATCCAAGTGCCACTGCTGTAGGGTCTTTCCATTAATGCAAGTCATTCATGACGGCTAGCCACATACAAAAACCCAACATTAGGCTCTTGATTAATGAATCTGAAAACTCAGCCAAGAACAAGACCCATCAGTCAGAACAATGCAGAGTTCAGAAGGGGCAGAAAACCACTGGGCCACAATGAATCGATGAGCTTTAGCAAACTTGATCCATGATGATCTTATGAATGCGTTCCTTCCAGTCATCAAGGTCATCAGGTCGCTCTGCATTTGAGTGAGTGGTGAAAAGGCCTCTGTATCTTTCTGTTCGAGTCACAGCTGAGAAGGTCTTCAGAATAATCCTCTTATACACTGATTCTGAATAGAGAGAACAGACTGCACTGAGTACACAAGCTTCTGTAAATCCTTTACTGCAGTGTGCCAGATAAAAAACATACGAGAATAATATTTATAAAAAATTGCCCCTTGAAGGCATCACCTGAGTTCTTTTTTGAGGTGGTACCCATTATGTCAGTAAATTTAGGGTTTTGTCTATTTTAAGAAAGGTACTACTATGAATTATGCACATTCCCCTTAGTAGTGAAGATCATCTGACATCAATAGAGTCTTATTGACTAGATTTACTAACACTGCACTATTGACTAAGAATGGAAAATGGTACATAAAGTAGTGGCAGGTATATATACACATCAACAGCATTTAAAAGTTAATTTTGACACATGCCTGACATATTCCAGGCTATAAAGTAACTCCTAACAGTAAATAACCAGTTGATGCCACATTTTGCCTGAAATTGAAGCAAACTGTGGAAAGAATCTCTCAAGTAGTCGCATGACCCATGAACTGTAACTTTGGTGCCCTTTACATTTTGTGGAAGTTATGGTTCATTGAACAATATGATCCCTACTGATACAGATTTCAGCAATCATTAAGACATAACTTATTAACATAATACCTTGGCATAATTTATTTCCTGGATTCGATACAACAAGGCTAGCCAAAAAAAAAGCAAGCTGAAAAATCTGCATTTTTTCAATTGAGTTACAAATTTAATCCAACATTGCCAAATATGTTCTCCAAGAGGTTGTAAAAGTTCATGCACCTACAAAAACTCATGCTTGACTTAGAGCAGATTTTGTCAAAATGCTCAGTGAACAGGAATGCAAATTTTTAGGAGAGTATTACATTTGAAATTTTTGCCTAAAACTTCAGCTATTTTGGATGGATCATCATGAAAACTTAACAACATTGTCATATGAGTATTTTACATAATCAGAAAATGTGATGCATGTGCATCAAGTTTCATGCGCCTTTGACCACCCACTCTTGGATTATGGCAGACTTTGTCAAAATGTTCAAGATTCTGAGTGAACAGGCATATGGCTGCTTTTGAGGCACGAATCCGGATTAGAATTTGAATGCCTAAAAATTTATGCACATGCATTAGATATTCAGATGGTGAAAAGCACACATTTGACAACATCTTGCTAAAGTTTCATGGTGGTCTGACTGGAGAAATTTTCTTTTTTTTTAAATAGAAATCAAATGTGGATTCATGGCTTGCAGCATAAGTCACATGCTTGTTCACTCTGAATTTTGACAACATCTGCCACAACTCAATAGTGGGTGGGCAAAAGTGCATGAAACATAAACAGCTCTTGGAAAACATATTAGACAATGTGCTAATAAATTTTCAATGCAATCCATTCAAAAATATTGATTTAACAGCAAAATTAAAAGCGACTCACTTTTTTTTGGCCAACTCTGTACATCACAAATGAGCAAACAGTTTTCCACTGGTTCTTCTAACCTAAATTAATCTAATATTTACTAAACATTAAGATGTGGCAGCAGACTAACATTTAGGAGGGCAATAAAGAAAGCAGGATCTCACCCACCTATTGTATTTTTGGCATGCACAGGCAGAAACATATTGCTACTTGAAAAAGAAGAGAGAAATCTCTATAGTCTCTATAGTAAGATCAGCTTCCCTAGCTTTGCTTTTTGGTACTATTAAGTACATGTGGAAACTCTAAAATGTGAATGATTGTTCAGGCTCTGCAATCTGCAATGCCTACCCACATGAGGTTCCTTCCAATGATACCAGTCTCAGAAAAAGGTGAAAAAGAGTATAGTTATAGGAAGCATATGGAAGTTTTGGCCTATTCAATCAAGTTAATGCAGTGTCATACCAGGTCCTTCAGTGTTCCATTTTCAAATTACTGTTTAAACTTGCTTCATATCAAGTCTCAATCTTTTTTGAATGACAATCACTTCAGGAAGTACTGAATCCAAGGAATTTCAGGATTTCTGGTGCCCTAACCTGAGGATGTAGAAAGAGGCTTTTTGTTGAGGAGGAAATCCATGACTTGGTTATCAGTGAACTTTTCTACTTCACAGCCTCCCAAAGGAGAGATGAGAGTGAGTGATCCCTCTGGCATTTCCACCACCACTTCCTCCCTGATTGTGCAGAGAAATCCTTGACTTAATATTCACAGAAATCAATACTGATATGGAACTTCACTTAATCAGAACACTTTCTACCAAGGAGCATGAATGTGCAATAATGCACCAGGGGTGAGTGAAATTGCATGAACACGAAAACAACTGAGGAGGACCACATGACTAGGTATTTCTGGCTTCTCTACAGTGGGCAGTCCAAAGCACAAAGTTTCTCCATTGTCATTGGACTTTGTGGCCAGAATCAAGAGGTGACATTGGTTCCCAGCTTCTGAAGACACTGTCAGACATTTCCCTGTGCGGCTTAGCAGGTGAGTTTGGCACCCAAGTTTCAACAGACTCTCCTTCAATGTCTCCCTGCCGAAAAAATGGAAAAAAAATTGAGTCCAGAAAACCATGACATAGAATTAAAAGTCTAGATGCAATATCCCTGCTATCAAGCAAAAAAAAAAAAAAAAAATTTTTAATGAATTAATAACATTGGAATATCATGAGGGGTACTAGATCATAAAAGTTGCGCTCTCAATTTTCTCAAGAAATAATTCACCAAAGACAATATTTTTTCTTCCACTTAAAGCACCTGTCTTTAACTCCTTTCCATGTATTCACCGCCAATTTCAATACACTTCTTGAGTCTGCTGACCCAAGCATCAAAACAGGTCCGATAATCCTCCTTTTTGAATGTAGCAAGCACTTTGTTGACCGCAGAAATCAGCGAATCACAGTCAGGGAAATGGCTCCCACACAGTGGTTCCTTCATTTTTGGAAATAACCAGAAATCACAAGGGGCCAAATCTGGCGAATAAGGTGGCGCCTCCACCAGGTTGACTCCCTTGTCTGCCAGAAAACTGATGGTGAGATGGGCCGTGTGTGCAGGTGCATTGTTACGGTGCAGGTACCAGCGCCTCCAGTCCACGTCGGATCGACATCTAAGCATATTTTTGAACACTTCAGGCAAGCAAACCTCAGTGTACCACTTAGCAGTGACTGTCTTGCTCTCTTCCAGCAGAACTGCAGCATTCAGTTCATTTGCAGAGAAGAAAATGACAAACAGTGTTTTCTTTGTGGACTGGACGCAACAAATTTTTGTTGGTGACAGTTCTCCTTTCTTGCTCCAGACTTGACCCTGACGGTTTGTTGTTGGCATATAGAAAGGTACCCAGGTCTCACCACCAGTGACGAATTTCTGGAAGGTTTTTGCTTGTCCATTTTTAAATTTCTTGAAGAAAAACTTTGCAAAATCCACTCGGGGCTGCTTTTGCTCTTCTGTCAAGCAGTGTGGAACCCATCGCTCTCATTTTTTTGAAAGGCCAAGGTAGTCCTTCAAGATTGTTTTGCATGATGGGGCACTTATCCCAAGGGTCCTCTGGATGACTTCATAGGTAATTCGTGGATCTTCTTGGTTGAGGGCAATAACAGCAGCAACATTTTCATAATTGGTCGCTGGTTTTGGGCGTCCTGGCGGCTGATTGTGGCAGTCAAAATTTCCGCTCTGAAATTTTTCATGCCATCCCTGGACTGTCCTCAGAGACAGATCTTTAATCCTGCAAATCGTTTTCAGATCATGGAGGCACTTGGAAGCCTTTTTTTTTTAGAGGAAGTTGTATAAGATGAACTTCTTCCTTTGAGAAGACCAGAAAAGCTGGCAGGTCAGCTTCCCTTTTTTGTTTCCTGCACCCTTCCATTTTTTCCAATAAACTTGAAAAACATACGGTAACCTCATGACTGATTGTACATCGCAGAGGAAGGAGAGCAACCGGCGCAGTCTAAAGCAACATGACAAACGACAGCCCTAGCCCAGTGCCCCTCGCAAGAATGAGAGAACTAAACTGCAAAATAGGGTCCTGATTCCTCTCTTTAAAGGTTTACTAAGTCATATGATCTAAGACTCTAAATTTCTTTGTTTCACTATTATTATTCATAAATTATAGCTCTAGATTTTTCCACAGACAATCCCTGGCTTAATTTCAGAGTTAGAAAGTCTCTGTTATCATGACAAATGTTCTACTTTACTTTACTTTAACAGATCTAACTGAAAACAGATTAGGAAAGAGGTCCATAAGTGAAAGGAAAACAAAATAACAGACATGAGCATGGAAATTGGATTCTCAAGAACATGAGCCAAACAAAGGTTTCCTTCATTGTCCTCCTTATGGGCATGTTTGTCCTCAGGGGAACTACAGAGTGAAATCTCTCCAGGCTGAAACAGATTGAACAATATGTACCTGCATAATTGATGTACTTTCCACCAAACTCCATCATGAAACGCTCGACTCAAAACATTTCTAAAATGCTTGGAACATTTAAGAAATCAACTTACTGACTTGGGAGAGTTAAGAGCATCTTCCTGTGAACAGCTGACTTCAATGATTGCATTAAGAACTGGTAAGCCAATTTCCTCATCGCACTTATATTTAGATGCTTGTGTGAAGAGCAGATCCAGGTTGTCATTCTCACAGATGAGCTCACTTTGGACATCATGCTGCATTCTTATAGATGACTGGCTTGGGCTAAGATCAATGTCAGCTGTTACAGATTCTTGGTCAGTCTGACTATGAAGAGGGCTGTCAATGATCTCCTGTGAAGGAATTCCCTCATCAGCTATTCCAAAATGTTGGATCCATTCTTGAGCCATTCTTGAAACCACCTTTGTTCTTTGGCCTGAATCTGAGATGAAATACAAGAGACTCTTGACACTATGCTGATTCTCTGACATTATTGTCAAGCATGTCCAAATGAGAAATCATGAATGGGAAAGTAAATGAAATTCTAACCAGATGATGTGGCAAGAGAGGATGCAAGGGCTGGTCTTCTTCTCCGACTAAGTATTGGGCTGGTACTTGGTTGAGGTTGAGCATCAAGATGAGCTTGGTCAGGAATTGATAATTTTGAGTCCCCTTGCAGGTTAATGTTATCTGTTTCAATTCGTATTTCAGCTTCAGGGACATCATCATGATCTCCAGTTTCAGTACTCCATGCTGATGAAAAACCCATCCCTCGATTCTGCCAGCTCTGTAACAATTTAATGAAGCACCAAATCACCTGCAGGGTTAAATTTTTTTTTTTTTTTACAAGAGAGCACTGTCCATTAACATTAAGAGGTATAATATCATTTCATGAACCAGTTACTAACAGCAATTCCAAGAGTTGCTGGTGCTGTAAAATTTTCATTGGAAGTCTGCTGGCAATCACTAGTTCTGGTGAAAGAAAAAGGGGTATGAGCACTAAATGTCTCCTGTAATCAGACACTGCAACCTGCTGAAAGGCTGATGGAGCTATAAGTGGACCGAAGATAGCCCAATAAACAACAATGGATAGAAAAAGAGCTTAAGATTTCACTGAAGATACTGATGAGATGACAAGCTCTAGGCCTATATCACTGATGAAAACTTTCCTTTTTCAAACATATCTTGAGTGCTCTTAGAGTGTTTATCATGAGAGTCAAACAATTTGCCATTTTGCTTAGACAACCATGCACGAGGCCTAGACTATGCTAAACTTAATTAGTTGCTAAGTGAAATACAGATCATGGCTTCCTTGGAACTCAGCCCTGATTGTGGTGAGGTTTCAAATACACAATTGTGGGAAAAAAAATTCAATGTGAATGCAGTGACGATTAAAACTAAAAAAATATGACCCCTTTATATGGGGGTGAACGACTCCTATTGAGGGTTCATCCAAGGTTTCATGGATATAAGCCCAATTATAGCCTAGGTCTAACTTGAAGCCTGTCGCTTCTGCTTTGAGCATGGTAAAACTGACCTGAGCAATATCTGCTCGAGATGGAGTTTTCTTGGTAACCAAGCTCCTTCTCTTCATGAGACCGTGCCAAACATACGAGTTATACGGCCTTCCTCCTTCAGTCAGTCATGTTTTTCTACCTTGCGAGGAACTGCTTGCGTAGGTCTAAAGGCATTCGTAACGGCAGGGAATCCTTCATCTCGATATACCCGAGGTTGCTAGTTACCGTAGTAGGCCTGAGTTCAAGAGCTGTCACTTTTAGGCCAATAGGCCCATAGACTAGAGGTATTTTGGGCCTACAGACCATAGGTATTGATTACAATCGAGACGGAATCTGCCGCCTTCCACATTCCTGACTCCAGGTTGCGTCAGTGCTGTCAGATGATGCATTCAACTGGATGGAGGTATTTTGATCATGTCTGTGTATAAATAGGTCAAATACAAATAAACTATTGAGCAGAGAGACGTCTGCTTGTCTCCGCTTCAGCAGCGGTTCTCTAACTAGGGAGCGCAAGCCCAGGGGGGAGCTGTGGCTCGACTGATCATGGGGTTTTAGCAGAGCCGGATTAAGAAGGGGGGGGGGGGGGGAAGCGGGGCTTTTGCCCCGGGGTTTTCCCCTTCCAAGGGGCCCCCCCCCCCC